CGGAGGACATAATAATAATTAAATAAATCTAGAACTCGCTTGAAAGTTTATCAATACTTTGTTGAGATATGAAATACTATTGCCAATATTTTGTAAAGCTAATTCACATCTTTTTTTAAAAATGAATTTTTGACTATATAGTAATGTACAAAATTTGTAATTTTTATTTTGGAGGATGCGAAACTCCGATTGGTTGAATTTCACGCATAACTTCAATTTTACATATTAAAGAAAAGAAAATTAACATGGAATTTTTAACATGATAATTTATGTCTGATATAGTAAACAAGTTTACATTGTCAACTACTAGTTAACATATTTTATATATAATTATATGTATATTTATAACCCCAAATATATTTATAATCGTTGTCACTTTCTCAATATATATATAAATTATATGAATGTATAAATGCACGTATCGTATATTTATAATAATAAAAATTGCAAAAAAAAAGTGTTCAAGAAATCACACAATCATCTTTTTTCTTTTTATTATCATCAATCGGTATACCCTTTAATTTTTGTTGAGCTTTTTTATCACCATGTTCAGCAGCACGACGATACCAAATATTAGCTTCTAGTTGATCTTTTTTAACCCCAATACCAACTTCAGTGAAATATCCTACGGCATATTCAGCTTTTGGCAACCCTTTGTCAGCCGCACGTTTGGCCCATAAATATGCTTCTGTGTCACTTTGTGGTAACACACCAGGACTTCCAACAAGGTACCAAGCTGTTAATGCAAAACAAGCTTCACGATGATCTTGTTGAGCAGCAATTGTGTAGTAGTGAATCGAGAGTGCAGCATCTACAAATACGATATTCTCAACGCCTTTCTCATGAAGTTCAGATAATTCATGTAAAGCATGTGGGAATTCTTCATTTGCTGATTCAACAGATCTTTTAAGCCACTTTACGCCATCTCTAGGGTTTTTTGATAAACCAAGTTCACCTTTTAATTCAGCCATACCCAAACGATACATAGCACCAGGATGATTTGATATTGCAGATTTCCTACATATATAATAATAAATATTTATATATTTAGTAATAAATATTTATATAACTA